TGCACTTGACTGATAACAGTTTTGGAATCCACCATTTTATAGTCTAGAAATTTTCCAACGATAAATTTCTTTGCTCCGGCATCTTCGGTTTTATATTTCCGATCTAAGGATTCCCACAGTGCCTTCGCCGTCTTGTGTATTTGATACACGTTATACAGCGAGTCATGCAAGCAGTTCATGACATAATTTCGACAAAGGAAGTCGGAGTGCTTCCAAGCATCAATAGCACTGACAGCTTGTGCATCAGTTAAGCCTTCAGGCAGCTTTGGAGCATCCTCACTTAAGAATCTCGAGAGATTCAATGTTGTCAAATAGAACAACATCTTTTGTTGCCATATCTTGAAGTTCAGGCCATAGAACTTCTCAGGTTTCTCACTATGGTTGGTAGACACCATAGGAGTAATCTTACCTTCAGGTTGTTTCACAATTGAGCCAGAGGCAGCGGCATCAGAAGTAGAAATATTGGTGTCTCTTCCTGTATTGTCAGCCATTGAGAACCGAATCTGTTTTAAGACTGTTATCCAAATAGTAAAATAGGCTGATACAAAAGAGAAGAATAAATACAACCTAGAAAGAAAGTAATAATCGAAAATAACAATAATAACAATCCGAGGCTTGTGAACACAATTTCCTTAAAACAGATTCGCCCCCTCCAGGTAGAGTGCTTGAGGTTGAGTAGGCGTCTGTCTCCCAGGATACAACGGATTAAAGGTGAATATGTCAGCACCAAACGTTCTTCACCCCAGCGAACTCGAACTAGAGCAATATGGAACACTATAAAAGATGCAGATGCAAGAAGGAAAAAGAGAGAGAGCGCACTTGCTTTTGAAACAACAGGAGATATTTATAGATGCTAGCTTAGGGTGACTGTTCGAAATTGGCAACAAGAGTTAAATTCCAGATAATTATCTTCACGTTTATGAAAGGATCACATTCATGTACATACATGTATCTCAATAAGATAACCCCAAAGGAATCCTATCCAAAATTATGTATCAATAATTAATACACATGAATCCTATCCGAAATCATGTATCAATAATTAATATACATGAATGAAAGATAATTATCCTGAATTCTTTCAAGAGTGCCATTATGAGAACAATTTTCTCATTCACTCTACAATGAATATAGCCATTTTTCCAACAAATTATTGGGTTTAGGGCTTCGAATTGGGAGTTTGATAATATTAACGAGAGAAGTTCTCTCTTCTTTCGTCTCTTTCAAAAAACCGAGAAAGCAACTATTGATGAACGAGTGATAGCCTCGTGGGAATATAAAAGTCAATCCTTTGTTACCCGTGTTAATTAATGAACTGGGCGGGTTATTTGGGCCTGGTTTTATCCATTTGGATATGAGTTTGACCCTTGAGGCTAACCTAGTGGTCATTGACAATCTGCGTTAGAAGCTTGCTATGCTTGTATGTAAGTAGTATAGTCCAATGCGGATTCTCCATCTCCTCCCATCATCCCTTGTAAAGTTTTAGATTAACGTTTAATGTACATATATTTTTATATGATCTAACTTAAATTTACACCACATTATTTGTATTCACATTTGAAATCTTTTATATGTATCATAAATGTAGACCTCCTTGTATATGAAACGGTAATCCAAAAACTGTTTACTTCATTTATGTGCTAGTATTTCATAACATATTCATTTCTTGAAGGTAATTGCTCTAGTGTTTTTCGAATAATCAACGATGACAACAATAAAGAAGCAGACTACTCACAAAGAGTGACAGAGATCAAAACATCGATGATGATCAATTCATCCAAATAATTTCAAAGAAGTTCAAAACTAAAATTACACTATGCTGTTAAGCTTTAGCTACACTGGCAACACCAGGATCGCCACAGCACTAAAGTGAGAAAAATTTGAACCCCAGTTACTGAAATATGGTCCACAGATCAATCTTCACCAAATCTTCTTAGAACATAAAAAGCTAATCAATTTCTATAGCTCAATGGTTAAATTAACACAACCCTGACAGAAAAATCCCAACTTTAGCAGAGAAATACAACGGCATTACAAGAAATGAATCCTCAATAATCTAAGACTTACAAAATGGTCAATCCTCTCTTAATTAACCCCTAATGCCTCAGGTGGCCCAAATCTTTTGTGGCATTACGCGAATCACAACTATTACAGGAAACAAGAAAAGGAAATTAAAAAAATAAAACCCAATTTACCAAAAGATTAAAAGGGCCAGTATCACGGGCAAACGACAATTATAAATTAATTAAAAAAAACTCAGAGAGAGAGAGAGAGAGAGATCAAATAAAAAGCCAGAGGAGTATAGCACCTTCGATTTAGAGGGAAATGGGAGAGGTCGGAAAATGTTTAGAGAGAGGAGAGATGAGGAGCGCAACGGATCTTCTGTCCCACACCCTGTGCCACTCTCTGTCCCACTTTTTATTATATTGCTATTTCTCATTCATAAACATCATGTTTTAGTTCTTTTTTGCTTCCTTATGATCCAATAACTATTAATTGAGTAATACGCAAAATTTAACAAACTCAAAAAATCAAAATACATAAAAAATGAGATTTTTTATGAATTTTCTGCTGTATTTTTTAATTTTCTATTATATATTATTTTTTTGAAGGTGTTGTATTTATTTTTTACTTAATTAATAGTTATTGGATCATAAGAAAACGAAAAAGAACTAAAACATGATGTTTATGAATGAAAAATAGCAATATAATAAAAAGTGGGACAGAGAGTGGCACAGGGTGTGGGACAGAAGATCCGTTGCGGATGAGGAGGGTGGTGGTGGACGATGATGACGTTGGTCCAACACGCGTTGTCTGAAGAAAGGTTTTAAGGTGACAAGGAATTAAGGGAGAGGCCCAACGAACGCAGGGTTTGTTGGCGGTATTACTTCTCCACTTTACTCTTTAGTCTTTTCTGTGTTTCGGAAAATTTTTACGCTACTATAATTGCTTTGATTAAAATAATGGTACAAGGCTATTTCTTTTTGACCCCTAGAAGTTTGCTAATTTCTAAAAACAGTATACTATTTCACTGTAATAATTTATTAAACACGTACAAATTATTGTGCTTGTGATACTTAACACGTTGAACTCCAATTCATAAGTTTTCCTCTCTCCACATCTAATTGATAGACTGTATTGTAAACCAACTCTCTTGATTTTGGTGAAATTTTGCATGATCAAGTGATTACATCAACTAATACTACTGAATCTAGCATCTTATTTCTATTAATCAAGTGTAGGTTGTAGCATTCCTGTACAACATTTGAGTGATACAAAATGGGTCAAATGAACTTGATATTGGAGAAATTTTTGGTTTTTCATCCATGACGATGGGCTAATTAAAATTGTAATAGCCTCGTGGGAATATAAAAGTCAATCCTTTGTTACCCGTGTTAATTAATGAACTGGGCGGGTTATTTGGGGCTGGTTTTTATCCATTTGGATATGAGTTTGACCCTTGAGGCTAACCTAATGGTCATTGACAATCTGCGTTAGAAGCTTGCTATGCTTGTATGTAAGTAGTATAGTCCAATGCGGATTCTTCATCTCCTCCCATCATCCCTTGTAAAGTTTTAGATTAACGTTTAATGTACATATATTTTTATATGATCTAACTTAAATTTACACCACATTATCTGTATTCACATTTGAAATCTTTTATATGTATCATAAATGTAGACCTCCTTGTATATGAAACGGTAATCCAAAATTTGTTTACTTCATTTATGTGCTAGTATTACATAACATATTCATTTCTTGAAGGTAATTGCTCAAGTGTTTTTCGAATAATCAACGATGACAACAATAAAGAAGCAGACTACTCACAAAGAGTGATAGAGATCAATACATCGATGATGATCAATTCATCCAAATAATTTCAAAGAAGTTCAAAACTAGCAGTAAAACAATACAAATGCAACAAAATTTAAAGTAAAAAACTCTAACACCTTCAGAATACTATGAATGTGGAGTATGTCGAAACCATTTAAAAGTTTGTAAAATTTTCAATCAGTTAAATTTGAGAAGTGTATATCCTCTTTATCATGTACTTTTTGGAATTTTTTAATAAATAGGTCAGAGTTTATGTCCAACCTTACACCGTTTCTAGGTAATTTTTTATTAAAAAAAAGAAAACTATTTACTTTCACAAATTCTCATAAACTAAAAGTAGTTTTAATATCTTGTTATCTTTTCTTCATGCGGGCCTATTTGCCATAACACGTGGACTTGCAAAATTTACTTTGTCCTGCTTTTTATTTTTTTTAAAATCCTTGTTAAATTTTGCATAACCTCTTATTTTCAAGCCAAAACCATTGCCATTACCCTTTAGTTTTTTTTTCTCCAACTCAAAAAGCCTTTTCCTTTTTGTGTTATTCCTACTAAAGTAAAAATATAGAGAAGCTAATACCTAGTTAGTAGTAACTACTAACTAGTAACTAGTAATGGTCTCTAACCAAGTAAAAGTCCAAGGCCCAAGGCCCCAGGCAATAAAAAGTTAGGAAAAGATTAGGAAGCATGGGCGGGTCAAATAGCGGATCTCACTTGTACGCAGCCACAGTATTAACTTTCCCTATCCTCGCCGCTAGGTGAAGACACAGTTCTCCTAGCTGAACCACAACGCAGCATCTTCCGGTGGCAGCCAACGGCGAGGATATACTTCTCTACCTCTTTATCCAGTAACGTTACTTTATTTTATCTCTCTCTTCTCGCCTTTTATTTATTTATTTACTTTTAATCTCACAAATTTCAATCTCTTGTATGCATCTTTGCTTTTTTTTTTTTGCTATAATTCTTAGAATTGATTGTACACTTTTATTTTTACGTTTGTACTCTTGTATGCATCTTTGTTTTTTTTTTTTTGCTATAATTCTTAGAATTGATTGTACACTTTTATTTTTACGTTTGTCTACGATTTTTTAAATTTTTTTTCTAAGCATTGTGCTGGATTTACTGGTATATAGTTACTGCTAATTAATTTTTAGTAGTTTTCTTGCTGGACTTTGGGTTTAGGGTTTTACGTAAGGAGCATAGCAGGAAATAGCAATAGCAATGAGTCGTAGCTTAGGTATATCGGTGAAGCTTCTACACGAAGCCACAGGACACATCGTGACCGTAGAGTTGAAGAACGGAGAGCTCTACAGAGGCAGCATGGTTGAATGCGAAGACAATTGGAATTGCCAGCTCAAGAACATCACTTTCACGGCTAAGGTACTCTCGTTCCAATGTTATTCTGCCCTTCATTAAGAATTGTGAAAGTGCTTTTCTGTTTCCGGTGTCTTTATGCTGCTTTTGAGCTTCGTAATGCCTTTTTCTTTCACTTTGATTCCAATGCATGATGGGCGGAAGCCTACGATGATTTTCTGTGGCAGGAAAATTGAAACTATGGGATGTTAGTAAATTGGAACTGAAATCTATTCACTCTTTAAGGGGGTAACATGGGTTGGGTGGTGAATGCTATTCAGAACACGGGGACAGTCAGTTGTATTTGTGCTCAAAAATGATTTATATAGGTTTTCCTAGTAAGAATTTCATGTTTGTGGCAAAAGTATTTTAAAACTATTATTGGCAATATGTTCTCATATAACAAAATTCTATCCAACTGAATTCCAGGTCGTGTATTTTCTTTTTTTAAATTCTTTGATCTTACATGCAAAACCGTTCTTTAATATGTGTTTTTTTTGTTGTGGGTTAGGTCTTTAATATGTGTTTTTATTGCAGATTTATGCATCTTATTTTATGACGTGTCCTTTAGGTGTCAGATGCACGTCTCAGATTTTACAACAAATTAAGTGTCTTCTGCACACATGCTTTAGAGTTCACAGAGTGTCAGGACTACTTGGGGTTGAGGTTGTAAGGAACTTTTTGACCTGTGGATGCTCATTTATCATACTTATTTTAACTGACAGCTGGTTTTAAGAGTATTCCTCCCTTGATAATTTCATTAAAATTGGACCTGTCATTTTTGACATTCATAAGCAATTATTTCCAGTGCCATATAATTTCTTCTACATCAATGGCTACAAAATGTAAGATCTCTTTTTGAATTGTTGATAGCTTATGAACAATCTCTTATCCTTTCATGGATCTTTGAAGCACTGATATAATTTACATCTTCAGCCGCCTCAATCCTGATATCTTCTTTTTTGAACCTCTGAACTGAAGCAAATTAGCTTCAAGACTTCAATTGTTTTTGACTGCCTATTCCAGATATGGAGTTGGGTAAAATTTCATGCGATTCAGTAAACAGAATATAAATTCCATCGTTGCTAGATCATCTATATAATTCGGCGAAGAATGAACTAATAGTGGGATTTTTTGATAAAATGTTTTCTGATTCTCTCAACTGCTTTCTGAGTTCTGATTGCGGGTAAAACAAATTTTTATCAGGTTTATGGTGATTCCCGATATGCTTAAGAATGCTTTAATGTTCAAACGTTTAGAAGCTAGAATCAAGGTGCTTTCCCAATTTGCCTATGTGTATTAGAGTGTATTTGTGACCATCACAGCTCTGCTTACACTTTTTATATTATCTTTTGAAGGACAAGGGTTCAGCACTTGGCGTTGGACGGGGACGTGCTGTTGCCATGAGAGCCAGGGTAAGATCTATTTCGTGACTTTTGCATCTTATACTCCAAGATCATTTATTTAAATCCAAAAGTTAGGAATGACACTCCATATCTTTATTGTAAGTTCTGAAATGCATTATGATCTATTGTCAAGAAAAGGCAATGCTGGATAGCCTCTCTAGAACTGGGATTTAACAAATACTGTAAAACAAAGAAAATTTAGTTGTATGGAGTATGTAAAATGATTAGCTTGGAGAAATATATGGGGTTACAAATTAAGTTTTGTGGGGTGAAGTTTGCCTGACTGTGCCATCCGTGTATGCAGGCTCAGGCTGCTGGTCGTGGAGGTCCACCTGGCAGGGGCGTTGTGCCACCTGTAAGGAGGTGATCATTCCATAATATGATTGTAATCTTAAGAGCATCAAAGCTCGTATATTATGCACGGGAGATCATCAAACCCATGTTCCGCAGCCCAATTTGGTATAGGATAATATTTGGCCTTTGAGACCTTAAGAATTATGTACGCTTTTGAACTTGGCTAGTGCTCATTTAGAGACGTGAATGGTTTTCCAATTTACGCTTCTGTTTTAGCTGATTCTAAAATTTGATGTAAACCAAATCGATTGGCTGTCTGTTAGTCATGTAGCGAAAGAAGTCGATGTGGGAAGTCGTATTCCGCTGTAACGTGGAAATAGCAAATTGCCTCCATCCGTAATTACTTGTGCGGATGCAAATAGCGAGCAATGCAATAAGCTTTTTGAAAAGGATGGATCCAGAGTTTGAATGATTATCAGGATTGCAAAGGCTATGGAGGAGAGGTTAGTTTTTGGTGGTGAAACGTAGTTGATAATCCAGAAATGCGTGTACCCTTTCATTAACCGCTGCCCGGGCTGCTACGGAAACACCTTTTACTGCCTACTGGTTGGAAGATTCAAAACTTCGTGGTTATATTGAATGAGCGGCCATTAGGCAGATTATTTGTGCCTCTGACGAATTGAACTACCTTTGAAGTAGAAATTAAATTATGCGAATTGGAACCCTATCCAACTCATGGCCCTTTAAATGAAATGGAGCAATTCTAACTCAGATGTTTTTTGGCCCAATGTGCACCAAAACAGACATCTTGCTTGAAATTCTCCATTTTGGAAAATCTTTCCTCTTTCGTCTACTGATTGAGGGCTATGACGAGATATAGCCTGGATTGTACATTCCTACTCCGTCTATTTATGCTCACTCACTATATCTGTATGCAGCAGGATGATTGATTTTCCAAGTCCATTTGCTGGATCCAGTAGCCAAAAACAATATGTGACTGACTATCTGGAACAGTTGCAGGCTACATTTCGTTTCCGCCTTAAAATACACTCCTTTTTATGAGTGATGGAGCAAAGGTGTTTACTTCTGCATATTCAAAAAGTTTTAACGCCTTCTTAAGTTGGTGGATAAAGGTGTAAATATCTGATGCGAACAAAATTACGGTTTAAAAGATTTTTTTTTTTTTTTGGGGTAAGGTATTCCACCTAAGGTTAAGTGGGTTTTCACTTTCAGTGCTTCAAAATTTTAGTGTCCTCAGATTTGAGTGCTTCAAAATTTCAGTGCTTCAATTGCCACGTTAAGTGGTTTTGCTTTAAAAAATATTCAGTCGGGTGCACGGTGGTGGTTCAGTCCCTTTCGAATTACCTTTGGACTTCTTTAGCTCCGCCCCTCCCCCTAATGTAGGATAGAATAGATTTATCGTCTCCGTTAAAAAAAAAAATTTTGGAGACATAGAAAATAGACCAGTGAATAGTCATCAACCGTCTCCCTCCTCCTGACTCACTGGCTCGCTTCTGCTCGAATTTCTTTCGCTGAACTTTCATCGAACTCATCTTGACCTCTGATGATGGAAATTTGATTTCGCCGAAGATGCGTTTTAAGAAAAGTTGTGTTAGCAAGAAGGGTACTTTTCTTATCTCTTTTCTTCTTCGCTGATGCATTTGTTTTCGAAAGTAGACTTTTGTAAGGATATTATTAGCAAAAAATTCCTAATTTTATGTTTCACACCGGCCCCCTTCCTCTCGATTCACTCGAGATTCAGGTTTTGAAATAACAGCAAGTTATACAATAATACCTTCTTTTGTTATACTACTATAATACCGTAGTACTCTTTCTTTCTCGTGTAACAATGACCACAAAGCTAATCGCCACAAACCAATCTAATGTTCCACCAACCAATTCTAAAATTGAAATTCACACATCTGTCATTCCCAAAAAGGAAAGGACTTCTTTATCGCAAAAGACGTTAGTTAACAGTACTAGTATTGTTCTCCAGATTGTGTGGTGTCGATGAAAGCCCGATGATGAAGACAGAATTGTGTAATAAAACTCTTCCTAGCACAAGTAGTCACGCTATGAATTAGATGCAACAGAACTTCCCTACAGCTTAAATCAAATCCTATCCATCCCAAGTGTTTGATTCACAATTCACAAACAAGAGTCTCTCTTGCCACATTATTTCTATGCATGAACAGGCATAGAGACACTGTACAGGCCACAGAAAGGGACTGCCAAAATTCATCTGTATCAAAGCCTGGCAGCTGATCTGGGAAATATAATAGTGCAACAACCAAACGTTTGGTATAATTTTTCTTTAGTCTTCAAGCACAACAAAAGTGTTCTCCGAATTGAAGTTCTTGAGCGGTAGCGATCAATGGTTTTGGCTCTCCAAAGTGCGCCGATGGTACGTACTTGACGTTGACTTGGGTATGGAAGTCAGAAAATTCGACGGTGAAGTTGCCAAAAGATGTCAATTTCAGATAAATGGTTGGACCACTAATGGCGATCGCAATGACTTCGAAAGATTGACTACTATTACAAGGGGGGGTTTAATTTATGCATTGAATAGGCCTTCTTTCTACTGAAAATGCTTGTTTGACCCGATGGGAAGACTTTTCTGCTTTTGTGTGAACAGAAATTTCAACTTTTTTGCTTTAGTTTGACTTTCCAATATATATATATATATATTCATGAAATGTATGACATACTAGCTAGCTTAAGGTGATTGAGACTCAAAAAACATATATAATAAGTATGTAAAAAGCTCCGACGCAGTTGCTTAAGTCTAATTAATTGAGTTCCATTTCGACTGAATCTTAGGATTTAACCACAAAGCTTTTCTAGAAATCTCAATATCATCCGCCATTTTTCTTTTAAAAATTTAATGCCAATTCGTATTTTAGTTGTAAGATACGAGCTAAGTGAATTAGTGAAGGGTCAAGTAAAACCCAAATTTCGCATTTCTACTGTTATTAAAAGTTAACTTGTTTTTCAGAATTGTATATATTTCTGGGTTGTGTGGATAAATAAAGCAAAGAAGAAAGGATAACTGCCTTCACTAATTAGTCATTCAAATATGCTAAGCTAAATTTTTTGGGGGGGGGGGGGGGTAGGGGTCACTTCTAATGCACAGCTTTAACTGCCAAACAGAGTGAAGAAAACAACTGATAAACCATATATACAGTCCACACGTTAAAGCAACTAATTAAGCAAGTGTTAATTAAAGCTGATATTAAGCAAGTGTTTGGGACATATCAACACGTCCTACTTTTTGAAGAATGAATGGAGGATGATGTGAGGGTTTAACGCCTCTCTTATCAATCAGAGTTTTATTAGCATGTGCTCCGCGTCTCCTTAATTTCATCAAAAGGGAAATTGTTTTTGATCAGCTTCTAATTGCTACTACGCATATGAGTATGGATTTTCTTTATTCGGTTCCCTCAATAAACCCTAATAGTATTAGGTCTTACGTCCAATCCAAATCCAGAGACCAAAATCTTAATCTTCAATTGTGTGAACTTAATCAAACCATTGAATTAGGGGACCATTTGGAGGTCCCAACTGCATGTGCAAGGCAGAATATGTTTCCAACAGGTCCTGGTCGATTTATGAAACCATGCCCAATCAATATTTGATGATTGATGGAATTGATTAACCTAACTTCTGTTCTACATAATAAAGCTCACTAATTGACTTCCCTGCTTAATGATGATCTGCAAGACCAAAAGCCATTGCTTAAAACTCATGCAGGAGAAAGAAAATGAAAATGAACGAAAATCAAACTTCAGTGCGATATTAACTATCACCGTCAATCAATCATATTCTTCTTTTTTTCTTTCAAGGATTGCTCAAACACTCGATGATACAATGAATTTACTACGTGAAGGCATGCACGTATTCATATTTATTACATCTATGTATTTAGACATTTTCTCAAAGTAATCTCACTTTTACAATGAATTAAGCAGTACTCAAGGCCTCTCTTAACGATTGACCCTTATTAATTACAAATGCCGTCGTTATCACTATTGCCATTGGTTCGGGTAACCTGGGCAATTAGCATACATATGGGACCTTTTGAACGCCAAATTATCACTTAAAATAGGGAAAAATCAGTAGCATCCTTATAGATTTATTGTACCATAAAGTTTTTAACGGACAAAAAGAATTTCAATGTCGGATTATTTGTTTTTCAATTATAAGAGAATTGATGAGTACGTCCCTACATTCTTTCTTTCTTTTTTTTTTCTTTAACAGAAAACCTTAGTTTTCCATAATGGCGTTTTTATTTTCTTTGATATTGGAAATATCATAATGGCGTTTTTTTAGAGTATTATCATTTTTTTTAAAAGGATAAGAAGCAAAGACTTTATTGGTAATTCATTTTACACCATGATGATGATGATGTGCAAGTCCAAGTTATGTAACTTCAAGTATTTCGCTTTCTTTTATGAAAAGGAGAATGGGACTTGATCCACTCAAGTTGCATGTAACGTGTGATCATAGACTACGAAAAAATATCGGTTTCCAGGTCCACGGAATGAAATTGTCAAAGTGACACTAAAAACTTTGCGGTGCATCAAAAGGTTGGTGAGTTGCTTAATATATTTGAATGTGTATATCATTCATCTTAGTATGTACTCACATCTGTAATGCGAGAGTGCATGCATATTGTAAAAAACAAGTTTTTTTTTTTTTTTAATGTTGAGGCCTTTGGCTATATTGAGCTAACTCTTAATACTTGTGTAAATAATAGTAAGCCATTAGTTAGATGATTATGAAATTGTATAAATAAAAATATATCATTAGTTAGTTGATTGTAAGGTCAATTTTTTTTCTCGTTATTTACAATCCTTTCCAATTTACCATCTCACTCAACTCTTCGTAGATCGTAAGACCACTTACTCGACTTTCAATTCTTCTATTTTTTTTTTCCTTCTCCAAGGACTCAAAATCTCCTTTGAACCAAACAAAATAAAAAGAATTGCTTTTTTTGAAAAACTTGGTAGGTGTATTCAGTTTATTGTATCAGAGACTGTAAGCATAAGGACGTTGCTTCCGTTTAAGATGTGCACCAATGA